GGCCTTGTTGAACTCCATGAGGTTATATATAAATAGACTATATATTGTGGAGTGGTATGAGGGGGAAAAAGTGATTATTGGCTCAAGTAACTCTAACAGAGAGGAAAACTTATTTTACATTAGAAATTTTACATGTAGAAATTCTTCCTGTGCTGGAAACCTCTACAGCTGTACTTAGTGGCAAAGCATGATACTGTGTTTGAGGTACCTGAAATAGTACAGACCTTGAGTTAGTGTAGTGATCAGCCTGATTGTTTTCTTCCCCCTCTCCCCTCCAATGTCATGGTGTTGGTTTTTTCTTAAATTTTCTTCAGAGTAACATGTTAATTGTGAGCTAATGACTCTCCCTACCAAGGTAATGTCAGTACATCTGGCTTAGGAACTTCTTAGCTTCCTTGGAGTTTTAGAAAACTTGTCAGTGACTGACTAATGTTTTGCACAAGTAATCCTGTACTGAATATTTTTGATGGGTTCTTTGATGCTTCTGGTGACTTCATGAACAGTCTCTGAGCTGGGAAGTTTGTATCTCCCCATCCTCATTTACATTAGTTTATTTCCTAGAAGATTTTTCTGTGTGTAAACTTGTCAAATTTTGTAGACTCTTGTAGTAGCAGAGGCACTGCTACTAAAGGTGCATAAAGTCTGAAAATGTGACCAGGCTTTTACTTACCTGAAGCTCTGGAGTTAGCTAAGAGTTCTAGCTGTGAATCGTATTAATATTTGCAATATATAGCTTCTTTCTTTAACCTAATTCTGATCACCTTTTTTCTTATTTCCTTTTAGAGACTCTACAGCGGTGGGTAATTCACTGGTCCATAAGCGGTCTCCTTTACGTCGAAGCCATAAGACCTCAGCATCTCTGACCAAGCTGTCGTTACGTGATGGACAGAAAGCCAAAAAGCCACTGTGTAAATTTGAAGAAGGCCAGGATGTCCTAGCTAGATGGTCAGATGGCTTGTTTTATCTTGGAACTATCAAAAAGGTAAAAAAACCTAACTTCACTGGAGTCTTTCAGTATCATGTTAGAGTATTATTGTCTCACTTAGTGCTGTTTAGTTATTTGACTCACAGCTTCCGCTGTATTTTTGTTTTTCAGATAAACAAACTGAAACAGAACTGCTTCATTATATTTGAAGACAGTTCCAAATCCTGGGTCCTCTGGAAGGACATACAAACAGGCAAGAACTTCACTGAAGTGGTCATTGCTTGCTATTTTATTTGTTTAGATTACTGTATCTGTTTAAAGTAATTTTGGACTATTCATGTGATACAAAGATATGTGCAATTATCAAGTGAGATGCCTATTGTATATTAGCTTTGATTTTTCAGATATCTGGGGAGTAGCTAGTGTTTTAATAACCTTATGCTAACGAAGCATGGATCACAATTACTTAAAATCAGTTACCATTTCCTCCTCATATAAAGGCAGTGGAAGTCTGATACGGCTTTTGCTGATTCCTGATGTTTAAACTAAACACTAAACAGGAGAAGCTTTGTATTCAGAGTGGAAAAAATCAACCGTGTTACGGCTGAGAAGCTTTTAAAATAACTGCTGTTCTGCCTCTGCGTAGTATTGTTTAATGATCTCTGATTCATTTATCCTGTCAAACTTCAATGCTTGAGTATGATAATATGTAGACCAACTTGTATTTTAATCCAGATTTTAACATTCATATGTGGCATAATTGGAGCAAGATGTAGTTTTGTTTCCAGTTTGCAAGTTTTTTTCTACTGTTACTGTGTGGTTTTGTATGCTTGCAGATATGTATAACAAGTAATTACATATTTCCTAAGAGTGTTGGAGTTTAATATTAAGCGTTTTGGGCAGATATGTCAAAAAGAAATTATGTGCCAAATAGTGCATACATCTACACGCAAACTACTGTAAATGCAAAACATACCTATCAGTTGTCCAGATAGAATTTTTTTTATACGTACTTTTTAGCCTGCATTTACATTCTTTATTCAGTTTTCAGTTTTTATTGTTGATATTAACAAAACATGGACTGTATAGGTATATAGGCAATATATAACCCATAAATAGCTGATGGTCTATCATAAATGATACAAATATTTAACACACACCATCTGCATAAAAGGTCTGTTTTTATTGTTGTTAGGAAGTTAGGCTTTGTAACCATGTTTCGACAGTGTGCAGATCTGTAACTGAAATTAAGGAAAAAGCCATACGTGTTGTAACTATTCCAACTGCAGATGCAACCTGGAGAAAAAAAAAATCACTCTTTCATCTTTGTCTAGGAGCCACTGAAAGTGGGGAAATGGTCTGTACAATATGTCAGGAAGAGTATTCAGAAGCACCGAATGAAATGGTTATATGTGATAAATGTGGGCAAGGTAACTAGATTTTTTTTCCACACTTACTGCCTTTTGAAAGGTGTTTCGATTTGTTTTATGGAGGAGGATATTTGCCTGGCTATGACTGACTGCTCAACTGATCTTAAGTTTTATAGCCTGTAGTGCCCATTGACAGCTCAGTGAATAATGATAATCCATGTTAAAGTGACTTAACACCTGTTCTGTAAGTAACGTTTATTTTTTCTTGCTAAGAAAATGTAAGACTATTTTGAATGTGGTATCAGTCTTTGCATTTTTGGCACTTAATTATGGATAATGCCTTATAGTTGCAGTAAAATTATGTATAGTTAATTCTGTGTAAGCTTCTTTTGCCACTGCACTTACAATTTGGTTGATCCTCTTTTCATACAGGTTATCATCAGCTGTGTCACACACCAAATATTGATTCCAGCGTGATTGATTCAGATGATAAATGGCTCTGTCGACAGTGCGTTTTTGCAACAACAACAAAGGTGTGTTTCTACAAAAAACTTCTTAATACATCCCATTTTGTGTGCATACTTTTTTCCACTTCAGAAACACATGAAACATAGTTGGTGTCTTTTTCAGTGATTCCTCTTTTGTTAAGTTTGATCTGAATGGAAGTTGTGTGTTGGGAAGTAATGTTTATTTTAGACATAGATGACATTTGGTTTTCAACTTGTTCTTAAATAGATATTTACATTTTATTAAAAACATAAATATTATTAAAACATACATTCAGGTAAAAACGGTGTACTTGATTATATACCCACTTTGTAACTTTAAAATTAAAGGACTTGAAATTTTCAGAAATAATGTTACTGGTCTTGTAAACTAATGTGCTTGTTTTGGCTCAGAGGGGTGGTGCGCTTAAGAAAGGACCAAATGCCAAAGCGCTGCAAGTCATGAAACAAACATTACCATATAATGCAACAGACCTTGAGTGGGATGCAGGTCATAAAACCAATGTCCAGCAGTGTTACTGCTATTGTGGAGGACCTGGGGAGTAAGTAAACAGATAATATATTAACTTTCCTTTGTAATGCAGCTGCAAACGTTGGCCCTGATCCTGCAGACTTTTACTTTGAACTTGGTAGTTTCTGTTCCTATTTTGTGTAGGTACTAAACTAATTACCTACCCCCAAACTTGTTGAATCCTCAAGATGAACCTTAGAGTTAAGTAGTTGAATCCTCAGAACAAATGTTTGACTTAATGCAGCCGTGCCATGCTTGGGAAAAAACAATAAAGCTAACCCAGTACGTGAGAAGGAGCTTATGTGGAGTTACTGAGTTCTCATTATCAAGATTTAAAAGGTGGTTGTCAGAAGAAATTATTTCTTATTTTCTTCATTTAATAATGGAATCCTTTTACTAGACAATCTTTTATTCTCAGTCACTTTTCTCTAGTAATGATTCGTTATGGAACCAAGTGTAACTGAACTATTAACTGAACTATCCCTACAGATGACTGATAGTTTTTTTAACTGTGAAAATCAGTTTGGTGCAAAAGATCCCTTGCTATTTAAACTAAACGTAATGCAGAACTATTTGCGGTAGCGTTTCCTAACACATCTTGTTTTTCTTTCTGTTGGTGAAGCTGGTATCTAAAGATGTTGCAGTGCTGCAAATGTAAGCAGTGGTTTCATGAGGCTTGTGTGCAGTGCCTCCAAAAGCCAATGCTCTTTGGTGACAGGTAAGAAACTTAAGCTGTACTTTAAGGCTGTCCTGGTTTAAAATGTGTGCTCTTTGGTGACAGGTAAGAAACTAAGCTGTACTTTATGGCTGTCCTGGTTTAAAATGAGGGAATCTCATGAGACTTTATTAAGGCATCTGTAATAGAACAGTATTGTAAAAAACAGGGTGAGTTTTGTGTAGAAGGTAGTACAAAATAAAGCATGTGTTCATGTGCTAGGAAATGGCAGTTCTTCATCTCAGTTTAATGAAGGAGGTTGGGGTGGGTGGTGGAGAGGTAACCAGTACATAGTTGAAATCCGACTGTTGCTGACTTTGCTTCGTGTGGAAGTTCATTATACTATAGGGGCGGGCTACTGGGACCTGGCAAGCTTTAAAGCAAACCACCTCAACGGGCCTGTAAGTTAAATAAAGGTGTTCATGTTGCCTAGGTGACTAATCTCTTCTATGGAACAGGTACCGTGCTTCAAGGAAGGCTGTATGTGTGGGTGCAGTAGTTCTCTGTGCTATAGGGAACTGGAGAAAGCTGGAAGGATAGTTAGACTGAGCGGATCTGTGTGTGTATTGTGTTTGTGTGTGAGTCAGGACAAAAGGAAATAAGTGCTGGTCTGTGCTTTTGTTTTAAGAGGAACTGGGAGCAGATAAGACAGAAAGCTGGAGAAGGGAATCAAGGAGTATGTCATTACTTCGTTTGTATGAAGGAACTGAATTAGGAGCCAGGAGTCCATGGGTCTTTTTAAATGCATGCCTACACTAGTGCACATGTTTCTGCATTTGAGAGAACAGAGTGTGGATGTTACAGAGTGTCTTCACTTATGCAGTCACACGTTGAGGGACTTTCTCAGGGAGTATGAAACAGTGGTACCAGGATAAAATTGAGGAAGTGCCTTGTATCTGGTGCAGTAGGCATCAGCACAGATGGTGGAAGTTGATAAAGGAAGGTGGAGGATGAAGGAACTCTTAAATATGTGGCTGGGTTTCTAGTCTGCTTAACCTAATTTTTACATAACTAGGGTGTTAAAACATAAAGTGTGTGTGTGTACAGACACCCACCATCCAGACACATGTACATATACATATGTATATTTTTAGGTTTTATACGTTCATTTGCTCAGTTTGCAGTTCTGGACCAGAATACCTCAAACGTTTACCCTTGAGATGGTAAGTATGATTTTTAAAAAGAAAGTAAAAGGTGTGTTGAATACATGGGTGTTTTTCCTGGGTATTTTGATTTTCCTTGCAAAAAGGAAATCCAGTTGCTGTCTTGTTTGAGTTCTTACTGCTTGTATGAGCAGAGGCAGTTTTCCTTCAAGCTTACCCTTAAATGTAGAGATGTATTGCAATTGCGTGCTCCTGGGATTGTTCAGGAAGTAGCAAGCAACTACTCGTTATATATATGAGGATTGATATCTCAATCAAAGTCTCTTTTGCAGGTTTAGGATCCTGACACTAGGCATTTTTCGTATGTAATCAGTACTAGAGTACACATCTTAACACAATTTATAATAGTTTCCTTGATGAGAGTTAATGGCTACCTGTTCAAACCATCTTTTGAACAATTAGAAATTCAGTTAAGTATATATTTTTTTTTAGTACATACATGGTAGAAATTACCTTGTCAAATGTTAATTCACCAAAATACCTATATGAATTCAGAACTGATACACTGACTTACTTAAATATCCCATGGTTTAGACTGATTTTGGAGTTTAGAAGAAGGTTATGACAATGACATGAGGCGGAGATGAAAGTAAAATTCAAAGCAGAAGGAATCATGTGAAGAGAGATGACAGGAGATTTAATCTTGTTACCTGGCTGCAGTTTTAAGTTGTGCTTTGTGTTTTGTTAACTATGTTGTTGTGCTAATATCTCTTCTACTATATTATTTCAAAGAAAAGCAATCTGAAGTAAAATACTTTTTTTTATTCAAATACTTCTGAACTGTAGGGTAGATATAGCACATCTATGCCTTTACAACCTAAGTGTTATTCATAAGAAGAAATACTTTGATTCGGAGCTTGAACTCATGGCCTACATTAATGAAAACTGGGATAGATTACATCCTGGTGAGGTAAGTAATTGGAACCATACAAAATTGGTTTTCCTCACAGTGCATATGTATGTCCTGAAAGTTAGCAACCTAAGAGCTGTTCTGGATGTTAAATCCTTTATTGCCTTAAAATCTAGAAATTGCAAATGATGAGATGATCTTTAATTTCCTTGTGGAAATAAAATGCTTTATAGAAGTGGTGTATGTTTTTCTGAGCTTTTTAATTTCTCAAGTGATCCATATAACTTCTTATTTGCATGGTAACTTTAGTTACACTCAACTGTTTATTCTCTTGCGCATATATATTTTCCTTTTCTTTCATTTTATAGTTGTCTTGTTGTTCCTTGATATTTTCATGTACACAGACCAGAAGATCTTAAGTATAGAACTGAATCCAGAGTATATTGCATATGAAGACAACTTAGAAGTTTCTAAGGTGTAACACAAAACCAATTATTGTACACAAACATTTCCCCTTTCCTCACTCCTCCAAACATGGGAGTGATCGGTTTGCGTCCAGGTCTTAAAGATGGCTTTGATCCTTTTCTAGTCTGATTCTGCTGCTTGTCAAGGCATCCTGGTTTTAGTTCACTACTGTAATGGTTACTTTTCCAGCTATTTGATTTACTGGGTAGTTATCTTGGTTCTAAAGGAAACCCATTTCCCCAAGAAAACTTCATATTTAGCCAAGATGAGCAGTGTAGATATTTGTTTCTGCATGTAAGGTTGAATGCAAAATTTATGTCTAAATTCCAGTTGGCACACTGCTAGTAGAGAATGCACTTTCTTGCATGAAAATTGTGTAGGATTTTCAAGTTTTCTGATATGCATGGTATATAACTGGTTGGAAATTTTCTTAGAGTGAGTACATCCTACTCTTCTACTTCAGTAAATTAACTTGCAATCCGCTTTTACTAGTGGACACAACTTTAAAATCAAATATGTTCTTTGTTTAACTGAGTAACTACTTTTCATAAATAATAGATATACTTACAACTAGACTTAGTGTCAGTAGTTTGTTAGAAAGACAAGCAAACACTCAAGCATTACTAAAAACCACCAGTCTCATTAATAGACATCTGGTTTTCTTTTGGATGGATGCATTACTAAAAACCACCAGTCTCAATAGACATCTGGTTTTCTTTGGGATGGATGGCATTTCTTACCTAAGTCACATCAAGTCTCAAGCTTTAAAAAAAAAAAGCTACATGAAATGTAATTTTCACACCATCTTTTCAATAGAATGTGGTGTTCTGGGTGTTTTATTGCACAGTTTAACAGATACGTAAGCGGGGTTAAATGTTGACTTTTGTTTGTTTTATTGAGGGAAAGGTAGAGGAAATTAATGTTTGTTCATTTCACGAAATAGTTTAGATTTTAACATCATGTCAGAAAGGCTTGTCAGAGCTGCCGTGGTGTGGATGGGAGTGGAGCTATCTAGCTGCCATTGTCTTGGAGCACGCATGCTGTTTTGAAGAAGTTCAAAGGCTGCAGTCCTCTTGTGCTCTTCCTCCTGTCTGCTTTCAATCCATCCATGCTCAATTGATGTGGAAAACACAACTCCTTAGCTGGGGGAGGAAGGAAGGGGGAGAGATCCACCACTAAGTGGTGCTTTCAATTCCTTAATATTTCTACACCTTCAAGGAAACGACTTCTTTTAAGTCTGAAAACTACAGTTTTCAAGGGGTAGATTTTGAATAAATGCATAAAAGCTGTGTTGAGGAAGTCTTCAAGACTGTATTCTGAAAAGATTCTGAATCCCATGAAATTGGGAAAAATTGTGTCAAAATCTGAGGCAAATATATCTTACTGTTTTGGTTAATCTGGTTTCTTTTAGTCTTCCTGTGACTAATTTCTAATTAATAATGTCTACAGTGTAATGGGGTTAGGTTTTCTGTAGTAGTCTTAGCTTGCCACTGTTAAAAATGACACTTTAGTTTCTTACTTGAGCTGCTTATAATTGAGTACGAGGCAAAGTGGTTTAGCCATAGGTAGGGTAGGACTAAAGGGAGGAATTATCACACCTCCTCAGCCAGTAAGTTTTAATATGTTATTATTTAGGATGCAATAAATATATGGCAGTTTTGTACAGTTAAGTGCTGCAGAGCTGCAAGGCCTCTGAATAGCAGTGCATCATAGTGAATGCATATGGTGAAGATGTATAAAAACACTTGTGACTTTTTGTCTAAAATTGGTTGAATAACTCTCTTAAGTCTTGTAGTCAAGTAGACTGACTGTGAATCTTGCCCAGAATTGTGTTCAAGTTGCTTTTTGAGGGTATTTATTCATTTATTTAGCTCTTATCACACTTAATCCTTTGAGCATTTCTGTATGGCCTAACTGGTCAGAATTGTGTTCTTTAGAAAGTATTTGAAGGTTGGGTTTTTTTGAGCTGCAAATGTTATGGTGTCTGCTCTGTAGTATTTGTACTAATAGTGAAACTTAATCTGTGTGTCAGCTCTGTAATTGAAGATAAACTTACTGCACAGCCAGTTGGATAGAAGTTTGGGAAGACTTTGGCATGGCAGCTGGAAATAATGGAATTTAAAAATATCTGTCTAAATATAAAAATAAATCTAACTTTCAATTTCATAAGAATTTCATAATTCATAAATTCCAAACGTAAATGTTATGTCCACTTCTTTATAATCACCAGCATACTGATCCTGCTTTATGTCTCTAATTTGTAAGTATGTGCTTCTTTCAGAGAGGAGGTTTCCTGTTTTGGTAGCTTCATAGGGACTAGTTACTTCAAGCTTTCATGCAAGAAAGGAGGTTGGACAGGGTCTCAGCAAAAGGGGCATGAAAACTGAATATTTTTTTACTCATTTTTCTGGGCCTCTTCCTCTTTCTTTGTGTTTTTTCTGGGCCTCTTCCTCTTTCTTGTTTGTGCGTTGAGTAATGTAGGCAAAAATGGAAATTGGGGCCTGTGGCAGGATATTGGTTAAAATGATCACCAATAAGATAGTTAACTCTTTGTGTCAGTATAGTTATCTTCTGCTTGCAATCCCAATTACTTTGGGAATACATAATGCCACAGAAGAGTTCTTCTTAGACTTGGGAGGGCAAGGTAGTATTATGTTCTTTGAGCATACTAAAATTCTTTGAGATGTTTTTCTGGCTTTGCTTATGACTGAAACTCAAATTCTTCAGCCTGGGCTTGATCCTGGCATGAATTCTATGGATGTATATCACAGAACATAAGGCATAATGACTGTGATCCTCTGGGGTTACATAGTTTCCATAGCCAAGGTGTCATAAATGTACTTCACATCCAAACCTGTAGTTACAGTGACTCAAAGTAACTGGAATCTTTCTATTACTAAAGAATTTCAGCGGTTAAATGACTTCTTAATACTTCACAGCTGGCAGATACACCAAAATCTGAAAGATATAAGCATGTACTGGAGGCATTAAATGATTACAAGACCATGTAAGTTACTGGTACTTTTTGTTTTAAATGCTTGCTTGTTTAATCTGATGTAGATTAGTCTTCAGTCTCCTTTGCTCAGTCTGTCTGATTATCACGTTGGCTGCAGATAACACAAGTTTTAAATACTGTTGCTATTTCAAACTGTAATATTACATAACTATTGAGTGGAACCCAGATCATGAGAGAACTTGTTTCTACTTCCATCCTCTTCCAACCTCATAGTCTCTGTATTTGAGAGTGAGGACTGTCTTAGCGGAAAGGGGGGGAATAAAGTAGCATTAGAATAAGTTCTAATTTGCATAACTTTGTTTTGCATGTATACTGTTTTAAAAGTTGCTTTTGCTGAGGTCAGAATTCTAACAGTTAATTTAAAATCATCTAGGTTTATGTCTGGAAAAGAAATAAAGAAAAAGAAACATTTGTTTGGCTTGAGAATTCGTGTTCCTCCAGTGCCACCAAATGCTGCTTTAAAGGCTGAGAAAGAACCAGAAGGAACTTCTCATGAGTTCAAAATTAAAGGCAGAAAATCATCTAAACCAATCCCTGATGTGAGGTACAAGAACCCAATCATTCTAGCAATGTTGTGGTAAATTGGGACACTTTGGGTATATTTGTGGTGCCTATAAAAAAAGGCTTTCTCATTGTGTAATGTATTTTATTTAATAATTGTAAAGGTGGGCTATTTGTGATAAAAAGTTCTTTAAATGAATTTAATTGACATTCTATTAGGGTCCTTTTTAAAAAAACAAACCACCACAAAATTTAGCACAGAAGATATCCCAGCTTTGCTGTCATTTGGAAAACAGTATCTCTTGCCTTTCTGTAGGCATATTTCTTATGCAATGATTTAACTAGCTTTCTAAACAGGAAGTAAAGTGAAGTTGGAACTTGTATTAGATCTGCCTTTTTTTTTTTACCAAGTGTGATCATATGAATGAACAACATCAAACACTTGTTCATTCCTCTTCAACATTAGGGAATCTGTCATCTTACTAGAAAGATGTTGTATCTGTTTGCTATTCTAGAGGCAAAAATATGTAGCTTTGTGGTAAATCAAAGGTTTTCAGGTACAATCTCATTTATTGCGATGTCTTAGCAATAGGCATCAATTGTTTTCTTTAGGCAATGAATACACATGTATTGAATGAAAACTATCTTCAGTAATATAGAACAAAATGTAACTTTTCTTTTAGGGAACTAAGTAATGGTATAGAAAGGAAGGGGAAAAAAAAATCTGTAGGTCGTCCACCTGGTCCCTATACGAGAAAAATGATTCACAGAACTCCAGAGTCATCTCCTCTGGTAAGGCTTCAGATTGCCCATGTCTTTCCCTCTAACTGGGTTATGGTTTTTGAAGACAAACATAACCAATTCATCTGAATCATGATATTCCCCCATGCATCCTCGAACAAAATTGATACAGCAATTAAAACTTAATTTGAAGTACCCTTTTTCTTCCTGCTTAGGATAATGAACCAGTTCCAGTGACAGAGAACCCAGCCTTGGAATTACCTTGCACTGTTGGGTAAATTAAAAAAAAAAAATCACTGTAAAGCATTATAATACTGTGTCACTTACCTGTTTTCTGAAACATCAGCTCAGTTTTTAATGTAACCTTACTTTCATTACATGGCAACCCTGCTATGTTGCATATCAGGAAATCTGATGGAACTGCACATTCATCCAATACCTCAGATGTGGAATCCACAGGTGCTGCCAGTATGAAAGAAACTACCTCATCTAGCATTTCCAGACATTATAGGTAACTATTCAATTACTCTTACTTGCTATAAAGATTACAATTTGCTGTATGTTCATTTTAATAAAACTTTTTGAAAGGTGGGACAGGAAACAATTGGTTCAGCAATGCTTCGTCCTTAATAAACAGAATGTACAGGGATGCTAGAAGGGAGATCTTGCCGAAGCATGACAGGTAACGTTTTAAGCCTGATCTCTTAAAGCCTGAGGTTCTGTTGTGCTACCAGTCAGTTCTGAACCCTTTGGCTGATATCTGTGAAATCTGATCAAAGTAGTTCTTAAGAAATTATGGTCTAACAAGATTCATGAAGTTAAACATTTGGATGAGAGAGACCCAAACCAGGAGGCCCCACTTAGAAGGGCCGACAACTTTCTAATCATTCGTGGCCTAGTCATTGCCAGTGGTGTTTTGTTGCTGGTTTAGTTGCAACTTTGGCAAAACAAGGGTAGAAGATAAGGTAGGAAGTTGACTTAAGTTATGGGGCAGCTGTAGCAGATGTGAAATGGAGGTAAAGGTATTGCAGAGCTAGTGGGAGAATTAATAGCTAAGAACTGATGGTATTGCAAAGGGGCATAACATAGAGGATGTGGTAATTTCCTGGGATTTGGAGTAGTGACCAACTCAGAGCTATGAATTGCATGGGGCAATTAAAGAAGTAGGACAAAAGAAAGCTAGACTTTTAGTTCTGCTTACAACAGAGTGGGGATTTTCTGTGCTCACCAACTACTGTTATTTTTTGATGTAAAAGATGCAGTTAAATTACACTTAATAGAAAGAATAAAACTCCATGAACAGTTCCTGAGCTTAGTTTTCTAAAAAGGCCACAAAAGAGCTGATGTGTACCCTGAATTTAATTTTAGCAGCTTTTGTGTTTGTAGGCTTGTGTTCATGTTAAAAAACAGTTAGGCGTGCTGTGATTTTTCTACAGTCAATAGAGCATGAGAAATTTTTGGCAGATTCTTCATGAATTATTTAACTACGATCAACTTTTCTGCAAATAAATTGTTACTTGAACATTT